ACTCTTATTTAATTTGCTGGTCAATGTAGAATTAGAAGTAACAGAATATGGAGGGATGAACCCCTCTTTAATCTTTAATGGTCTCCATGAAGAGCACACAGCAACACAGTGACATGTGTTCTCTGCTTCAACCCCATCCTAGTACCAGGGGATCTAGTGGGCAGCTAGCGGCAGCTAGTGGCAGCTAGTGGGCAGGATGGGCAGCTAGTGTACAGCGCGGGAGCAATGGGAAGTGGGGGGGTGTCCGGTGCTTGCTCAGGGGCAGGGGGTGAACTGGGACTCTCCAAGTAGAAGTCCCACCCATATGTTAGTGTCTGGTCGTGGACTTGAACGGTGACCCTACAGCTCCCAGTCGAAGCCCCTACTGACCCGAGCCACTGGCGGGACATGAGTCTTCGAGAGTTAAAAAGCAAGTCTTTTAATTCTGAAAGGGTTCAAGTCAAGTGTGACGTTAAGCCTGATCAATTCAAACTTGATTTTGACAATGAATCACGACAGCACATGGAAGTATTGTGGATTTCAGAAGCCAGACATTAAATGAAATCCTTGACTGATTACTTGTCCTTATTATAGTATGGCTTGTAATGATCTTGCTTCACACCAAAGAGTTCTCTGTAACAGAGAATTAAAGAAATAAGGGTTGACCTGCTTAAAACATTTTAAACATCAAAGCTAGTTTTTGCCTATCACACCAATATCATATACGCTCAATAAATAGTACAAAGTATGGTGTTTGCGTTGCCTGTATATTATAAACATGCTAACCAGAGTCAGTATAACTGTTTGCAGCTTTTGGGGCAGATTGGTTCCTAAAAAATGAGAAAGCATAAAAAAGAAATTTTGCAAAATCGTTGTTTAAATGTAATTTACATAACAATTATTGCTGAATCTCTGAAATGCAGGTAATTGCACTTCAGCTTCTTTGACGCGAGTGCGCTATCGTTTGGGACATTACTTACACTTGTATTTATGCCTTACTAGTTTCTTATTTTTGAAAGCTTCTCAATCGGTGTAAGATGGCAAACCTTAAGGTCAATTTGCAAGGATATGCTGAAACAGTTCTGTGGCTATGAAGTGCCTTTTCAATTGTTCCCACTTTTCCAGAATCCAGAAAGCCTTTCATTCGTCCCTAACAATTTGTCCATGGAATTCAAATGCATGATGGATTTTCTTGACATCTAGGCATCAAAAATAACATAGGTCCAGAATCACCAAGCCGAACGGATACTCAGCTACGTACCCACCGTTGAGCAGCCATAGAAGCAACACTGTAAACACCAACAAGAGCGCAAGAATATTAAAAAACAGTCTATGAAAGTGGTTGCTCTAAAATACCATAGCAGATCACCCATTCTAGCACCTCATATCCCTCTAAATTTTCACTCCTGTTTCAAAAAGTGCTGATTTGGGGTATAAAGCACATATAAAAATTGTGATACAAAATAAAAAAGGAGGGGTCTAGCTCAATGCGGGACCCGGCCCAGCCTACCGTACCAAACACTAAATGGCTGGGCCGGATGAAACGCGCATACATGGATTATCCAAGGATTATCTCTGAACAGTATGGAGCTCAAAGGCCCTTCTCTCTTGCCGTTAACCCAGAGGTGAGTTGCGCTTTTTAGCTTCCTGCTCTTCAGGCACACATGGCTCTCCACAGTGAGCAGGTTAGCTCTGAGTGTTAGCCATGCTAATGTAAACACGCGTGACCATATTAACGCTCGCAAAACAGTCGGGCATCCTGTTTCTGATAGCAAGCATTTTTCTTGATAGGGCGACGTGGGTCCACATTTCAGAATATTACTTCATATCGGACGCTAATCTGGATCAGCTCCGTTGTTCCCCGTTTTTAGAGATTTGGGTACGGAGGTTTTATTTGCTGACGCTGCGTGAGTTCCCCGACACACCGGGGACACATCTTTATGTATAACAGACATCAAAAAGTGCATTCTGCATGATAGGTCCCCTTTAAGTTGCCCCTAACATAGCCTTAAATTGCGGGCGAGTCTCCTGTTTGTTAGTCATGTTGGCAAACCATTGTCTCTATTTAATTAATGAGATTTCCATCACCTTTCCCAAGGGACATGCAAAGAATCCCTTAACATCATCATCATCAGCAAGAGAGAGATCTGGAGAGGAAACATGGGGGGAGATAATGACCGACAGCGAGGAGCGCTAATCTACGAGGGAAGAAGTTAATGGGGTTGAATACGAGGAGGAAAGAATGTAAGGATCAATATGATTATAACATTTTGAATTGTGACTCTTCAATTTGCATCTAAATAATTCATCATCAAACCTCCAGACTCAGACACATTTTCATCCCACAGGCCATAAGTCCGTTAATCACCTGAACTTCTGAAAGAACATCCATAACGTTCATCTGTTTGCAACTTATATCAATATTCCAATTGCTTGTATATAGACTATTCTGCACTGTTATTATATTATATTTTATTTACGTGCACTATTTGATCTGCTTTATTGTGTTGCACTGTGACCTCAGATTTTCATTGACATAACTGCACTGTAGCTCAGTACACATGACAATAAAAGCCTTGAATCTTTTTCAAAGTTTGTGTGTCCAAACTCTTCTTGTTGCTTCCTCTTCCCCAACTTCTTCCTCCCCCTCCTTCCTCCCATCATTCCTCACGACTCCTCGGTGAGTGAGGAGGAGTGAGAGTCGACGTACACCCCATCTATAAAGATGACTCCCAGAGCGAGGCAGTGGAAAAGGCCATTAGGTTCTGCTTCTCATTCCTCCCACCACACTGGACTGTGAGGGCAGTTTGCTCGACACACACACACACGCACGCACGCACGCACGCACGCACGCACGCACGCACGCACGCACGCACGCACGCACACACACACACACACACACACACACACACACACACACACCCAACCAATGGACCATTCCCTTTATCCAACCCCTGTCCCTTTCTACCAACCTGCAATACCATTCACTGCTGTGCTAATGGCACATAACAGCTAAAGCACCACCAACACCACAAAACTTCACCTCTGCCAAAATGCATAACATTACAAATTTCTCTCCAGTCTTTTTACATTTTACATACAAGGCCGAAAGTCTGAGCTTCTGTCTACTCCCTTCAAATCAATGAGGACTATTTACCGTATGTCGAATCAAGCAAGTTGTTTTCATGTGTTGCTGTACATTTATTTTAAACTTTGAGTGAGCATGTTATGTTGCTTTTGCAGGGTATTTTACAACTGTAGGCCTATATCAGGTTTGAAAAGAAAAACTCACACAGAATATCAAAACCAAAGAATGTGGGTGACATTATATTTCTTTTTTTTCTTATCTTCCATTGACTGAAATAATGTAAAAATAAATAGCAGTAGGCTATGATGATTAGCGCAGTATTGCCATGACAATTAACACCACAACGGATCCTCCCTGCACCTTATCTGTACCTGCTATGTGAACATTTCTAATCTAAATCCTCTACTGCTACCCAGTTTTAAGGGCCAACACCTCTAATCAATGTGTTGCTATTCAATTAGGGCAACTATTGTGCTATGT